AGGCAGAAGCAGGCGGGGCCTTCAGAACTTGCCTGGTTTCTGAGTTTCCCTCCCTCCTCCCATTTATTCTGCCACTAGGTGCTGAGGCCACTATCAGCACTTGAATCATATGAGCAATTCAGTCCCAGCCCCAAGGAGCAGATGCAACACTTCCTGCCTCCGACTCACGCAGTTCCTAGAAGGCCCGCCCTCCTGCCCCTGGATAATCCACTTGGCCACTTCCTCTTGGAAGCCCCCCTGATCCTCCAGCTGTGAACCCAGCCACATCCATTACAGCTCTTTTCTGCCTCGTGACGCGGTTGCTCACACCCTGACGCCTCCGCCAGACTGACTTGCTCAGAGCAGGTCTGTGTCTTTCACATCTGTGTCCTGTGCCCAGTGCCCAGCCCGCACGGCACACTGGTGCTCGGTAAACACGTTCTACAGAGGATTCCCAGATCAGCCCGGCCGGGGAGCGCCACTGGCTGGAGCGTCGCCCCGACCCGCTGGGGCTGCACGCGGCACCCCTGGGCAGGGCACATACAAGAATCAACCAGCGAACGCGTCAATAAGTGGGACAACAAACCTCTCTCCCTCTTCCTGTCTCTGAGACCAATCAATAAAAAAATTATTCACAAGTCACCATGGAAGCAGTGAGGGTGGGGATTCGCAGGAAGGAGGGAGCGATCGGTGGGAATCCCATCAGAGTGGCTTCTGTTTGCGCTTCCTCAGCCCTGAACTTGGCTTAGCCCTGACCGGGCAGCCACCTCCTCTAGAGCGTGCCTTCCGCTCTCTGTGCCCGAGCCTCTGTGCACAGCACGTCCCTGCGTCCTTTCTCCTCGGCCAGTTTACTGAGCGCCATCAGCAACACCAGTGCCGGGCCCTGCACGGACCCAGGGGCACAGCACCGCCGAGGGCAGTGATGGCGAACCTTTTGAGCTCGGCGTGTCAGCATTTTGAAAAACCCTAACTTAACTCTGGTGCCATGTCACATATAGAAATTTTTTGATATTTGCAACCATAGTAAAACAAAGATGTATATTTTTGATATTTATTTTATATATTTAAATGCCATTTAACAAAGAAAAATCAACCAAAAAAATGAGTTCGCGTGTCACCTCTGACACGCGTGTCATAGGTTCGCCATCACTGGCCTAGGGGCTTCCAGAGCGGTCTGGGGTTCCACAGCAGGAGCGTGGGCCGTGCCGCCTCTGCATGGGGGCACCCGGGAGCAGGGCGGTCCCCTGAAGGCCCCAATGCCAGGGTCAGGGAAGCGGGCTGGCCCCTCCTCCCCTTACGAGGGCACCGGCCAGCACTCCCGAGGCCACGGGCTGTGCCCTGTGCTGGGCACACAGGGACTCAGGAAATGCTTGTGACTAAAGGTCGCTGGTCCCTCCACACCAGGCCCCTGCCACGCTCCGAGAGCTCCCCTGAGGTCCCCCTTCTCCCCCGCCCGCACGTCCACAAGACCCACTGGGGTATCTACAGCCCCACCCCCAGCTGTCCCTCAGTCAGTCTGTGGGGTTCCAACATGTCCCTGGCAGATGCCCCGCAGGCTGGTGGGCATCTGACAGAGGAGCACCCACAGGAGGGAGGAGGCCTGAGTCCTAGCGGCTCCATCTTGAGTTGCCTGAGACCTGACCAGGAGCCCCCACTGAGCCCCACTTTCTTCTCCCTGAGTGGCCCTAACTGATTCCTTGAACTGCAGCCCAGCCCAGTGTGGTCAGTGGGCCGGACAGCTCAGGACCCTAGCCGATGGGCGAGGGGGCCAGCAGGAAAGTCCTGGGCCCTCCTAAGAGAACAGGGGTGGGCGCTCCCTGCCCCTGCCCCCAGCCTCCACTTGCCAGGCTCGCCCAGCAGCTGAGATAATGCCTGGCCCCTCCTCCCCTTACGAGGGCACCGGCCAGCACTCCCGAGGCCACGGGCTGTGCCCTGTGCTGGGCACACAGGGACTCAGGAAATGCTTGTGACTAAAGGTCGCTGGTCCCTCCACACCAGGCCCCTGCCACGCTCCGAGAGCTCCCCTGAGGTCCCCCTTCTCCCCCGCCCGCACGTCCACAAGACCCACTGGGGTATCTACAGCCCCACCCCCAGCTGTCCCTCGGTCAGTCTGTGGGGTTCCAACATGTCCCTGGCAGATGCCCTGCAGGCTGGTGGGCATCTGACAGAGGAGCACCCACAGGAGGGAGGAGGCCTGAGTCCTAGCGGCTCCATCTTGAGTTGCCTGAGACCTGACCAGGAGCCCCCACTGAGCCCCACTTTCTTCTCCCTGAGTGGCCCTAACTGATTCCTTGAACTGCAGCCCAGCCCAGTGTGGTCAGTGGGCCGGACAGCTCAGGACCCTAGCCGATGGGCGAGGGGGCCAGCAGGAAAGTCCTGGGCCCTCCTAAGAGAACAGGGGTGGGCGCTCCCTGCCCCTGCCCCCAGCCTCCACTTGCCAGGCTCGCCCAGCAGCTGAGATAATGCGGTACAATTGGGGAGCTTTCACCAACAAAGCAGGAACAGGAAAAGCCGGTTGGGAGCGCTTGGGCCCGGGTGCAGGCAGGGTGGAGAGAGGGGTGCCCCCAGCAGCCCTCTGGGGGTTGGCGTCGGGCACGGTGGGGCCTGCAGAGGGACAAGGCCACCCTGGAGGCTGCGACTGCCCCTCCCCACATCTCCCTGCGGGTGTGGGGGCAGCAGGCCGGTGCCTGGACCCTAGGCTGACATTCATTATGGCCTCTTCAGCGGTGACCTGACCCTGTAGAGCTGAGTGCCAGGAGAGGGCTGGCAGCGCCTGGCGTGGGCGGGAGGGTGCTGCAGGGGCTTGGGCACCCGCGGTCCATCCACCAGCAGTGCCTCCTCGGGCAGATGTGGCCTTCCCCCACCCCAGTCCTGCGTGAGGGGGGGGCCCGCTCCTCTCCGGTCGCTCTCCCAGAAGCCACCGTGGTGAGCAGTGAGGAAAGCGCCCGGGTGCCCGTTCACTGGGCAGAGTGGGTTCTCCTGGCCCGTGCGCCTTTGCCTGGGGTGGGTGGGCCAGGCACAGGGGTGGGAAGACCTCTAAGGAGCAGGCGACTCACTCTGATGTGGATCTCTGTGCCCACAGCACTGCTGGCAGGGCTGGGGGTGTGGCCCCGGGGTGGGCATGAGGAAGCTCGTGGATATGGGCATGGGGTCACTAGTGGAACTGGGAGAGGCTGGGAAGACTGGGAAGGTCTGAAGACCCCCTTGCAGCCCTCCCCCACCCGCCATGCTTAGGAGCCCAGAACCCAAGCGTCTGGCCTGGGGCTGCCTGTCCTGGTCAGACCGGGCGGTCGGGGAGAACGCCCTTGCTGTTGACACTGGGCAGGTGGGGGCTTCCAGAGGGGGGCAGACTCCTGGTGACGCTGACAGGCAGGGCCAGAATGCCAGTCACTGAGGGAACAGGCTCACGCTGAAGGGAGAGAAAGGGCTGATGGGAAAGGCGGGAGTCAGGCAGGGCCTCCTGGGGCAGAAAGCCCCTGGCAGCCGGGAGAGTGGAGGGAGGAGGGAGGCCCCTCGGACACGGAGGAGGATCACCACCCCAGCCCAGCCCTCTCCGTGGTGTCCAGGCCTCTCCACCAGCCCCCCTGGCTCTGACACCCCGAAAACAGACGCTATGTCTCATCTACACTGCCCACCCCCTGCCTCCCGCAGGGCAGTCCA